AATATTTACACAGCATTTACAAAAACTAATGTAAATTCTTTTTGCATCCAGCTAAATATAAAATAAATATATATATATATATATATATATATATATATATATTACATTAATATTAAAATTCCATGTTAGTTTCCTGTAAAAGTATTTCACTTTAATCTTTCTAGTATGCACAACTTTGAATCTCCCTTTGTTAACACTCCTTTATCGACCACCTATCCAAATAAAAAAAATAGGAATTTGACCTAAGGTTATTTAGTTTCACAAAATAATTATTTACAAATATTTCTTTTCTAGTTTCTAAAAAGTTCAACCTTCAAGTTTTTAACAATTCTTAATGTTTACAAGGATTTTATTCCCTAATCCAGAAAGGTGAGGATTTCAACATGCTCTGCAGTCAGGCAGCTTCAACATGAGGGAAAAATATAAGCAAATTATTTCCTTCCAGATATATTTCCCAGCTCTCCAGTTAGACATTAGCGTTAAATAAAAGTATCCCGTAATGCAGATTTACATTAATCCCAACCAAGGTCAGTAACGAATGATACACAAAAATAAGTCGAATATTAAACTTAAAATATATCTGTGCTTAACTTCTAATAAGTGACAAAAGCCAGTGGGTGTTTAAAAATTATATACCCCTAAGGTCAGGTTTTGCAGAAGCAACTGTATTTCTCTATATAGCCTTATTTTTAGCCTTATACTTACTTGGTCAGGTTTCTAGAGCACTAACATGCTGCAGAAATATAGACCCCTCTGAATACATTGGTGTACCTTATAAACAAGCCATGTTGGGATAAACCGAGAAACTAATTTACCACTAAATAACATTTCAAAAGTTAATTTTGTGTCAACAAAAGTGTAATTTCTCAAACTTTCTTTACTCTTTGTCCATTCCATCCATTGTGGTTTCAACCTAATAACTCATCATATACCATTGCTCAGCAGGCAAACAAAGATGGAAATCTCTGAGAGGTCCCTTAGTGAACCACAACAGATTAAAGATATTCAGTGATTAAAGGAATAGTACACCGAAAACATGATTAGCCTTCATTTTCTACTCACCCCCATGCTGAACAACACTCTGGAGTACTTTTTTGATATCTCAAATGCATCTGGAGATCTGGGAGGCTTCTTGCTGTCTGCTGACATTCAAATAATGGAGGTCCATGGTGCCCGAGACAGAAAGGTCCATAAAAGTCCACAAAAAACGTGTCAATATTCCTCCATACTGCTCGTCCAATGTATTCCAAGTATCCTGAGTGGGTAGCATCCAGAATTTACTCGAAACGAAGTCTTTTAGAATGTTTTTAGAGCATAAACAGTAGTGTATAGGATTTCCTGAAAGCGCGCGCCTGCAAGTTCACGCCATGACTGGTTTGGTCTGCCGGCTTCCGTAGCGTCGTGAACGTGCAGGCGCACGCTTTCAGGAAATCCTATACATTACTGTTTATGCTCTAAAAACATTCTAAATGACTTCGTTTCGAGTAAAGTCTGGATGCTACCCACTCAGGACACTTGGAATACATTGGACGAGCAGTATGGAGGAATATCGACACGTTTTTTGTGGACTTTTATGGACCTTTCTGTCTCGGGCACCATAGACCTCCATTATTTGAATGTCAGCAGACAGCAAGAAGCCTCCCAGATCTCCAGATGCATTTGAGTTATCAAAAAAGTACTCCAGAGTGTTGTATAGCATGGGGGTGAGTAGAAAATGAAGGCTAATCATGTTTTGGGTGTACTATTCCTTTAAGCAACATTTCTTACATTCTTTCAATCCACACTTTGGTACATGAAATAATGCAGACATGTTATGAACATCATCATTTAGCTCCCACAACTCCAGTAGGAGATGTGTTCTTTCAAACTCAACAACATGAGAACGCACATCAACAAAAGGTCACACCATACATGTTCTGGGGCTTCTGCAAACAGAACCTTTAAGGATTGAAGATGAATGTTTCTAAAATATTACAATTTTGTTTGCATGCCTGACATTGTGGATTACACAGGAAAATAGAAATCCAACAAAATGCTCATGTTTTTATCAACATCGTTAAACAGGGTCAGTGTTTTCTAGTGACAGGCGGAGTGGATGCACCACAGAGTGCTTTGCATAAAACGTCCTGGTTTGCTAGGTGTCCAAACTGCTGCACTACAGCAACATTTCTCCTGACTATTTGTTCTTTGGTGTAATATATTTTGCGCTATAAATGACATTGAAGTTTATCTTTGTCAGAGTTTCTTGGGTGGAAATGCATAATGCATTAATTACGCTACGTTACTGCTCCGTTTGGTTCTTTTACGATGAGTCAACATTTTCCTGGACTTCATTACTGACCACAATTGAAACAGAATACTTATTTGTTTTTCTTTGTTGCAATAATATATGCAGAGACAACTCATTAGACATAGCTGATAGCACTTTGGCAACTGCTTTCCTTTTGGAAATTTTTTTAATTATTTTGCAAGTTTTCTATAGTTAAAACTTACATTGATGATTAATATCTGCTGCTTTTCTCTAACTTTTGTTTAAGTGAAAATAAACATTTAGCAACTAATGCTTCTGGTTTCTTACTGTATGAAATGACTGTCCTGCTGTGACTCCGTTTACATCACGCATGGATGTAAACAGACTCATCCTGTGTTTATTTCCTTGATGTTTCCTAATGAGGATACAGCTGTGACACAAGATGCCACAGACAGACATTCAGAGGAGGGAGCAGGGCTGGTTCCATGCAGATAATGTGCTGTAATCACTATTGATGAGGATGGCCGTGGTTATTCTGTTTTGGGGATTAGGAGATTCACAGCAGCCGACAACTGAAAATAAAACAAACTAATGAGAGATCTGCTGACTGTCATATTAGGACTGCCTTGCTGTTTTGATACAAATCTGCTTATATTTCCTTTTTCTAAAGAAGAAGAAACTAATATGTTCGACATTTTACTTTTTTAGAACTTCATCAATACAAAGTTCATCCCCTTACGGCCATCAGTTGCTGGTGTGCATTTATAGCGGTCAATGAGTGGCAGGAGTATTCCACCCCGGATAGGGTTGCACACCAGTCCAATCATAAGTCCAACACGTGACATTTAATCCAGAAACATGCAAGCACACACTAACACTGAAAGGCAAGAATCTTTCATTAACCAATGTTTGGACTTAAGGGGCAAGTCAAAGAGTCCTGAGAGCATTTACTGGAAGGACGTGTAAGCTTTAGAAAGACCACGGGGGAAAGTACTAACAGCTGCAGCACAAAGTAGCACCTGCCTATCCTCCAGAGGTGTAGATACATTCTATAAAAAAAAGGCCCAGTAGAGCCCCCACCAGGTCAGGAAACGATAGACCGAGGTCTGCGGCCTCTTATATCCAAGGAGCCATTTTACCCTGAGTTGTTTCAAGCCACAAAATATTACAGGTCTTTTTAATAAAACACAACCTATTATTTTTGTTAATCATCTTCCATTAGAAATCTCTTGCAATCTTTCACAACCCAACGTTTTTTTGCAGGTGATTAAAAAATGCATCTAATTAATTACAGAATGTGTCATTAATTAATCTAATTAATTGCATTTTAATCTGCTAAAGAAGTCACCAGGAACAATTATCATCAAGGGCTCTAGTCCTTTAGGTTTTCCATGCAACCCTGCTCCCACAGAGCCTATGAAGTTCTGTATGGTAAGTTATTGATTGGAATCAGGTGAGTTGGAGGAGAGAAATTAGGTAATCTTACAGAATGAGGGTCAAGGTTCCACATCACTGTGTTAAAGGTTCCAGATATAAATGGTTTTTATTCTAGGACAGTACAATATTGTAGTGAATGGTTAATCCATCTTCCTGTTGGTGACTTTGCTCATAGCTACATAACTTTCCCAACATGTCGAGTGCTTAAATGATCAAGCTGAAGATTTGCTGATAAAAGAATTTGTTTTTACAATAATTATGAACCACCTTGGTGTGGTTGGCAGTCCCATCTTCATTCTCTTTGAATTCAAATTTTATATAGATCTCTTATTCTTCTGGTTTTGGCGGTTGGCACACAGCTATACGTGCATTACCGCCACCCATCCCCCGGTCATTCAGTGCACCAAATTTAAAAGGCTCATTCAATGAATTACCACTCTGAATTAATCATGATTATTTTTATAACGTATTAATTTGGGGTGTAATTAATGAATCTAATTAACATGATACCTGAGAGCCCTAATGTTTACCTTTAAAAAATGTAGTAAAACATATTTTCCAAGTTAAATAAAAGAAAAATGTCTCTAAAAACAGATTTCCTGTTCTTTTAATGGCATTCTGTTGTGATATTTCAATTCAAATATACTTTATTATTTGTTATTATAGCTATTATTATGTGTTTGTTTTTTTATCATTGTTAGCCAATATTAACATCCATTGTAGAGGATCCAAAGAGCCTTCACGCGGCTCCGGAGCCGCATGCTGTAGATCCCTGCTCCTGACATTTTACGTCCGCAAATGCGAGGTCTACAAATCCCTTATTGAATCCATTCACCTTAATAATTTCCTAACAAATTTCCTACAAAATTAGTTGTGTATTTAATCATTAAAATAACCCTCCCTACCAATTTATATCTTCCTTCAGCTACATAATTAGGTAGACATTTCACTGACATGGAAAAATATCTAAAATAACCCTAAACATGATCAAGTATTAGGTTACTTTCTTGCTTATGTTCATTCAAATGTTTTGTGGTGTTTTATAACATCTCATTAATCTTAAATGTTGAGCATCACAATGAAAGTTAGTATCATTATTTTGGACAGAGAATAAGGCCTTTTCAACCTTTCCTTCTATCTTCAGACTAATATCAGAATCAGAAATACTTTAATGATCCCAGGAGGAAATTATCTTTCTTACATGGTCCAGGTATACAAAAGAACATATTATAAATATTCATCATCTAAATAATAATGATAATAAAATACATAATAATAAATAATTAAAAAAAATCAAATAAAGGAAACTTACCGCTTATCCATTTAGCGTTTGGATCATGAACCTTGAATTCTTTTCTGAAGAGATCTCCAACCGTAACTTTGCCTTTCAGAGCCAGACGGTCATCTTCTCCTGCAAGGGAAACAACCTCCTTAGTACAGGTAGGTGTTAATATGCACAACAGAAGCACAGCTGAATTTGATACAGAAAGATTCAGACAGTAAAGGTAAACATTATGGAACTTCAAAACTTGAGTGAAGTTATGTGACTGAAAAGCAGAAATGCATTAAACTTTTTTTGGTTATCTGAATGCTTCTGCATGAGAACAGCTTAACATTGTTTTAGGTCACGCTGGAGTGTCCTCAATCACAGACCATGAAACAACCCTGGTATTGTTTAAACTGCTGGTCTGAGCGGGATTTATCCAGACCCCAGAGTGGTTTGTTTTCTCGTCTGTCCCAGTAAACCTAAAGCATGAAGAACATTAAGAGCAGCAGATTTAAGCAGCAAAAAAATGAAAACAAATTAAAAGTTCTAATTCAAAACAGTTTGTAAATGTCCCATGGGGCTATGTGGAGAAATTAAGAGGAGCATCACGCACCTAGAATTGGATGTAAAAGTAGCAAAAGAAATCCTATGAGACATACTTACTTCTCCATGCTTTTTTTTCTTAATCAGCACAATATTTGAGCAGTTTTGCAGCAAAATAGGTTAACTGCATGATGTTGTCTGACACAATCCTTGGACTGGACCATTACTGTTAAAGTGCCCCTACTATAAAAGATAATTCCTTTTTCTATTGACACTCAAAAGTCTGATGCTTTTGAAAGCTTGGGTTGCAATTCCTAAACATTTACCTGGGCGTTTTTGATTTCCTTGGGCTTTGGTTCCACTAAAGACCCAGTTCTTTCTAGCATGTTAAGGGGTGGGGTCGTGGACAGTTACAGAGCTCTTTTCCACCAGTGATGGAACATTTAGTTTGTCACAAAATAAGTTTTAATATGTTTTTAAGTGAGAAACATTGGAACTTTATCTGTTTAGTCTGTTTATCAAGAAAGATCCAACTTTTAAATCTGAGTCCAGTGTCACTGCAGACAGTTGTAGGCAGATCGACAGTCGTAACATCGGCCGGTTAGTCGGTTTATTATTATTTATTTCAACACACACAAAGTCTCTGACCTCAAACTTTTACCTGTTTTGCCTGAAAGCTTTGACATTTTAAGATAATGTAGATTTTGAGCACTTTGAGATGTTTAAGATATAAAGTGCAGTATAAATTAAATGTATTATTATTATTAATATTATTAATCATAAACTGTTAAAGGGAAATGATGGAGCAATAATCAGATGGAGCACTTTAACAGGTACTTTTCCCAACAAACAAGAAATATTCATTCTCATTAGACTGGCTTTTATGTAAACCTAATTTAATGGAGTGTAAACCCTTTTTGTATACATATACAAACACTTACATATGTATACATACACACACCTAGATTTTTTTCATGGATTTTATGATGACATAGGTGCAAGAGGAGATACAACAAGTTAAATGCTATCTGTTGGCTTGTGGAGATCCATTTGAAGTCATTACATCACTGACACTCCCCACATACTCTATGTATAGGATGTGATGACTTAGTTTTCTTATGATTATAAAGTCATAGTATAAATTCTTTGTACAGACTCTAATAAACAACATTTTCAGTAAAAACTGTTTCTTTATGTCCTACAGATATGAGGTTTGGTTATAATCGATATTAGAAATAAATGTGTTGATCAATTTTTAGTAGTTATTGCAAATCAATGATACAGTTTAACCAACAACTCTGACCAGATGCAGGCTGATATAAAATGTAATGTAAAATATGTAATGTTTTATATACTTATATAGCTCAGCTGTTTTAAACCGTAATGATGGTGTAAAAGACAGCATTTCAGAAACAGACCCTCAAACTGGGAGTCAAACACTTTAGTGGTGATCCAGGCCTACTTTGCTCATTAAGAACCTAGAAGAAATACAAGCCTTGGAGAAAATCCTAAAAGAGAATGCCAAGCATTCAGGCTGGGACTAAAACTTAAGCACACCTGGGTGATAAATGGTTTAGTAGAAGGCTATTTAAATTCTAAATCAACAATCTCATAACATGACATTAATTACAATATTTATGCTTAAAAAAAAAAGAAAGCACAGCGTGGCTAAATTAAAACAAAAATTAGTTGATCAAAACTTTTCCACATTAATGTAAGAGACTCATTACAAGTTGCTGCAAACATTTAATGGAAACAGTTGCCCCCTAGTGTGATACAACCAGTTATTAGTTTGTGGGACACATTTTTTTTTACCCTAATTAGTAAAAACAATATTTTCAAAACTGTAGTTTTTGTTTACTTCGGTTTTCGGTCTGAAATTAAAACATATTTGTGAATGAGAAACATTAAGGTTTTCAAAGGGCCATCTTTCTAACACAAAATTACTCTCCCCTCATTGCATCTACGAATAAATATTGATTTAATATCATAACATATATGAATCACTTGTAATAACAGCAATATTACTATGCTAATATTTTCATAAAAACAATCAAAATGTCAATTAGAAAACATATTTTATATATATATATATATATATATATATATATATATATATATATATATATATATATATATATATATATATCATTACTCAATAGAAATGAAACCACACAGCTATCTGACAATGCCTGCCCTCAGCATTAGAGATGAAAGCTTGGAAGCTACTTTTTTTATGCGTTAACGATTGCATACTTAAATCCAAGATAAATATTATGTGCTAGTTTTACTTTTAGCACTGCTGTACAATTGATTAACATTGTTTTAATGCATTAACACCAAAGAATGAGCAACATGAAGGATAAAAGTTAATGCCTTCTGATAAACTGGACTTTAATAAATGCTGGAATTGAACTCAAAGGTGCTTTTTGAAGGGTGCTTTTTTAAGGGTGCAAAAAAAAAAAAAAAAAAAAATGACCATAGTTTCAAATAATCCTGTTTTTCCATCCTGACAAAAAAAATCTAAGAATCTATAATGTCCTTTGTCAGAAGTATTACCTCAAACTGCATCTTAACATTTTTTTCCCCACAGGCTATTCAACTTCCAAAGAAGAAAAGCCGTATATGAGATGGGGGGAAAAAAGTCACAAGAGCAAAATAACAAAGGCATCACCATAACTCCCTCAGGCTTTTGATAAAACCAGGATGGGTTCTATTTGTCAGCAGAGATGAACATATTTACAGCAGATGCCTCCTGCAATTTATTTCAGCTTAATTTCATCCATCAATGCTCATCATATCATCCCCAGCTTCATAAAATCACTCATTGCAGGGCGGAGAGAAGGCAAAAAAAAAAAGAAAGCCATCACCACTTTGTTTTGCCTATAAACATATCCCTAAAAATTATTAATTTTATGTTTTATTAAGAACTCTAGAGCAGATTGAATCTCAGTAATTATTTTAAAAATTGTTGAATCTGTCTTCTTATAGTTTCTTAGCAAAGAAAGACTAAAACATACAGAAAAAAACTGAAACCAACAACATCTTCACCTCCCCTGATGTTTCACTTTCAAAAAAGGGAAATCTTTGTCTTTATTATTGACATGTCATGAATATCTCTAATATAAAGCATTTTTGCAAATTATTGTGATCTACAGCACTGATTTGGTCTTGGTGGAGCAATAAAATGTATCATTTAAATTATCTTTATTTCCCACAGGAAAATAAGTTGAAAAGCAAATTATCAATACCTAAACCCCTTCTTTTCTTGATATTAAGTCACATTATTTTGGGAGCCTATTTATAAAACAATCATTTTCAGCCCTAAAACCACATATAAAAAAATAAAATACCTTACATTTAATTTGCTGGCTCAAATAACAAGGTGATATTTTAAAGAAAGGCAACAAACATAAACTTACTTTCGACATTTAAACTTAGTGTAAACAAACAATGCCTCAAAGTTAATGTAGGGGATTATAAGGTATTAATTTTAGCTATCATTTTCATTTTATTATGTCTGTAAATTTAATTTTGAATTTCAAGGAATAATTTGTAATACTTTAAGTGCTACTGGTTCTCAAAAAAAAACTCTGAAATGATGACACAATATCTCTGAAACTGCTAAAACTGCAACTCTAAAGTCTCATACAGCAGCAAGATCATCAGTGTCATCATTCAAATTAAAGGATTTCCAGTGTTTAGTTTATGCATGCAAAGCAAGTCTTTGAACATGAGCCTCAAAATAGAAACTGGGTGCTTCTAAGCTGGCAGATAGGAGCACCAAACCTGTTAGATAAAATCATATCAATCAGAAAGTTCACTTTTATAAAAAAAAAAATATGTCTTTTTTTAAGGATTTGGCAATAATCATGAAAAACACAATAGTCCTGTATTTTTATAGCTGGTTAACAGAAAAAGTTACATTTCATAAGAAAATCAGTTCTACTTTTATGACGATCAGTTTCATGATGATTTTCTTAACTTTATAGCCCATTTCTTTTTATTTCATATTAGCCATAGGAGACAAAACTGGCACAGAATTTTAAGATTATAAAAATATCCAATAAAAACTTTTTAACATGAGATTTGCATGTCTACACTGGAAAACGTGACTAAATTGTCACTTGAAAATCAATGACTTTTTACGCATCTTTCTCTTCAAGAGAAAAAAATTATTTCATATATCTTGCCAATGTATAGATAAGGGAGTACAATGTCAGGATTAAAACATGTATTCCGGTTAACTGCCCTAACATGCATTCCTCAAGCCTGCTTTTTCCAACAGGAAAACATGGTGGTGGCAGCATCATGCATAGGGGTTTTTTCTATTCACATGGAACTGGGCCTTTTCACCTATGTAGATTAAATTCTAATGACTTTCAAATAAAAAGTTTGACACCAAACATTTTGGTGTCTGATAAACAGTAAAGATAACATTTGGGAATCTATGTGATTGAAAAACAAACCCAAATCAATAAAAAAGGGCTTCAGCAGAATCCATTAAAATCATTCAGATTTCAGAACTGGTGTGAAGATGGCTGAGGACAAGAGACGTCCACACAATCGGATAGATTTGGAGACATGTTGCAAGGTGGACT